TTCTTGATGGTCTTGGGGCCCTGTAGTGGGCCCCAGAGGCCGAAATGTAGGAAACAACGGACGGGACTGAATACAACTGATATCCTCGCAGATGGGTGTGTAGGGATAGTCGGGCGACGAGAGCGATGCATATATATATATATATATATATATCCTATATATATATATATATCTATATATATATATATATATATATATATATATATATATTATATATATATATATATATATATATGTCTCTCTCTCTCTCTGAGTAGGCCGGGGGGGGGGGGGGGGGCAAAATCGGTGCCGTCATCCCCCATGGCCGCCCCCCCGAACCTGTGGGGGGTCACAGACCCCCCGGGACAGCCCCGGGCCGCTTCCAAATTGCCCACGACAGGCCACGCAGGCCGTACAGATGGTCAAGAAAGCTTGAAGAGGCCCCGAAGACGCCCAAGAGCGCCCCATGAGGGCCCGTGAGGGCCCCAAGAGGGCCTTCAAGAGGCAACAATCGGCCCATTTTCTGAGTAAAACGTAAGTTTTCGGCATACTCGCTGGCTTCGTCTTCACAGTGCCCCAGACGCCCCCGCGGAGCCCCAATACAGCCCAAGAAAGACCCAAGAGGGCCCCAGACGGCCCAAAAGGGTCGTCCTGTGGGGCTCACGGAACCCCCCGAGACGCCCAGGAGGCCCCAAAGCCGGCCCAGGAGGCCCCCAAGACGGCCTCAGGGAGGCGCGATCCTCCGACCCCATCAACTCGGACCACATCTAGGATGCCTAAGTATTACCAGGACCTTGACAACTAATGTCCAGTAGAGGGTTTAGCAATCCAGATAGGTTTATAGGTATCTTTTAGCACTCTGGGAGGCTAGGACTGCCGCGTGTCGAAGGCGCTGGCGACCGCGTGCGCATCTGCCAGCTGCAACGATCTGAGCTCGAGCTGCCCCCCCCGCCCTATAGCGGCCCAGCGCGCCAGGGGGCGGCCCGCGGCGGGGGGCCCTGGGGAGTGCATGTGCGGCGGCGGCTGCCGCGCGCAAGGTGCCCAGCTACGCGTAAGAGTGACCCTTCGCCGGAGTGATCCTTGGTGTGGGCCCACATGGGGTCGCCCCCGGCACTTGCCTGCACGCTTGGGTTCGGCTTTCCCGCGGCCCTGGTAGAGCCGCGCGCCAAAGATCACTCTTGCCTCGGGCTACTCCTGCGTGTAGCCGATCGGCAGACCCCGAGCTCCTGGTCTCGCAATGCTCGCACACTGGGCGTCCTTGCCAGGCTTCGGGCCCCGGGGCCACAACTCGGCGGCGAGCCCAGGGGGGGGGGGGGGCTCAGAGGGGGCAGGCCTGCTCAGAAGGCGGCGGGGCCTCTCGGACGCCGCGCCTTCCGAGACGCCGGGTCGCCTTGTAGACGTCGAGTAGGAGATCGACCGCAGAATGGAGTTTCCCCACGTTTGATTGTTCCGTGCCGAAGCTGCGACGAATGCGCAGAAGGCCCCGCAGATCTGCGGAGCATTCTGCGCATGTTTCTCTCAGTTCCGGAGGAGAGCACCAACTTTGGGGTAAAAACCGATTCTGCGGTCGACCTCCTCCTCGCAGACGAGAGGTGCGGGGCCGCGCGGGGCGAGCCGACGGCGCTGTGCATGAGCTGGCCGCTGGCCTGCCTCGCGTGGCCGCCGCCCCGCCTGCGGGCCCAGCGCGGGCCGCCCAGCGCGCAGAGGGCCGGCGCCGGCGGCGAGGAACGGCCCGCGCCGGGCTCGCCGCGGGCGGGCGGCCCGCGCGGCGAGCCGCAGCAGCCAGAGGCCCGGCCCGCGCCCGAGGCGCTGCAGCTGCCGGGGACGCCCGAGAGTCGGCGACGGCAAAGGGTGTGGTCGGAGGAGGAGGAGGAGGAGGAGGAGGAGGAGGAGGAGGAGGAGGAGGAGGAGGAGGAGGAGACGGAGGGGAGGAGGAGGAGGAGGAGGAGGGGAGGAGGAGAGGAGGAGGAGGAGGAGGAGGAGGAGGAGGAGGAGGAGGAGGAGGAGAGGAGGCGAGGAGGAGGAGGACGAGGAGGAGGAGGAGGAGGAGGCGGAGGAGGAGGAGGAGGACGGGGAGAGGAGGAGGAGGAGGAGGAGGAGGAGGAGGCGGAGGAGGAAGAGGCGGAGGAGGAGGAGGAGGCGGAGGAGGAGGAGGAGGAGGAGGAGGAGGAGGCGGAGGAGGAAGAGGAGGAGGAGGAGGAAGAATAATAATAATAATAAGAAGAAGAAGTAGAAGAATAATAATACTAAGAAGAATAATAAGAATAAGAATAAGACTACTAACAATAAGAAAAAGAAGAATAAGAAGAATAATAATAATAAGAAGAATAAGAATAATAAGACGACGAATAATAAGAATACTAATAATAATAATACGAAGACTAAGAATAATAATAATACTCAGAAGAAGAATAATAATAATAAGACTAATAATAATAATAATAATAATAATAATGAGAATAATAAGAAGAATAATAAGACGAATAAGAAGAATACGAATAATAAGAAGAAGAAGAGGAGG